CATACAATAAAATGACCATATTTTTCTCCTATTGTCTATTTGATAGCCTGAGATTACTCATTATTCAGAAGGAAAAGAGTGAATCTTCAATTTCCTTGTAACTGGAAACAGGACACCAAACATGCCATGCAAGGCCACTGGCTGCAGTCAATGCAGTCAGGCGGTGGGAGACAACTGAACCGGGACCAGAAACTTTAGGGGGGTTCTTGAAGGAAACAAGGGTACAGGAAGGGAAGGCATGCTGAAGGAGGTGAGGGCTGGCCAGCTAGAATAAGTTTTTTCAGGCTCTGGGCCATAAGGATGGTACCTAGTTGTCAGGTAGACTGGGCCTGGGGTGATTTAGGACAGGAGAAACTTCAGCTTGGCCTGGAGAGTTTGATCTGGAGATACCCAAAGTCATGCTTGAAAGGAAGTCAAGTTGCTAACTTTAAGAAATACATAGTCCTGGGAGGGGCAGTTTCTCCTGGAACAAGCCCCCAAATGACAGGGCACCAGCACACACAATACATACATGCACACACATGCACGCGCACTCACACTCACACAAGACAGAGAAAAGAAAAGAAAACTGAAACATATAGTTAGTAACCCATGATTAACATATTTCTTCACTGGATGGTGACATGGGTGAGAAGTGGCCCTCTGCTGCACCAAGCTCCTGAGACTGGGACGTGGTCACAGCAGCAGGGCTACCCAGGGGATCCAAGAACTCAGCTGCCTGCTGAGCTGAACGAGCAACATTTGGGAATTCCAGCTCATGCATCTTACGTTACCCCAAACTCGCATGTTTAAAATACATGTTGTAGAGTATTTATTAAAAGATCTATTAGAAGATAAGAAATTTTACTGAACGAAAAACAAAAGCCTTCCGACCCATTTCTGGGTGAGGATGTTTGAGGCAGAACTCCACAGAAAAGTGATCTCTTAGGTGAGGGCTTTCTCATAGCAGTTAATTACTGTGTTGAAAACAAACCAAAAACACAAAAATAACTTACATTTGAATTTAGAGACTTGCTTATATTTTTAACCCATGATGACTGGGCTAATAATAAATGAGGTACTCAAATTTATAAGCTGTACTTTCACTTGTTTAAATGGAAAAGGATTCCAGAATGTCTGTCTTTCTAGTTCTTAGTGAGCAAGTTCCACTTACTGCATTTATGTGCCTCAGGGTTTTATGAACTTCCACCCTCTCCTCTGGCAGGCAGTGCCAGACGCCAGAGCCCACACTGACTTACTGCTCCCCTTTTCTGTCCTATAAAAGATTTAATGTCTGCCTCTGAATCTTTTGATGCATTTCAGACTTTTCCTAAACTGCACACTGTATTGCTAGTGGCCTTTTACAATCGTCAAGTCAGTGTACCACTTTACACATCTGACTTCAAAATATAGTATTCTGTTGGTGTAAGTGGCTGCCAAAGCCCTGTTTCTTGCAGGGTTAGCATATAGGCTGATAAGGTGGAGTACAGTGGTGTTAAATAATGCGACATGGGTGCCTTCCCTTTCCACCTCCGATCCAATGCTCCTCACCACCATCCTCACTGTACAAGACCATGCAATGGCTAAGTGACAGGACTCCAGCAATCACCCTTGGCAAGGTGGTGATGCCAAAGTAAGCCAGCTCAAATGGCTCCCATTACACTAATACTCTACAAGGATTAATTATTCAAATCAGCACAGAAAATGTGGGCATCGATGGCTTCATCCTCATCACCGCAAGCCAATCTGTACCTTACTCACCCATCACCTACCCCGGCCCCGTATTCCTCTCCACTCCCACCCTTGCTATTCCTGAAAGCTGCATCATGTCTTGGCTACTTCTGTCCTTGCTCATTCCTACTCACTCTGTTGCCACACTTTCTGGGAAGGGCATCTTCAAGACCAGCTTAGCTTAGGCTTTCGTGGAAAGCATTCTACGCTCTGCTTTGATACTGATTCTTGTTCATGTCTCGCCTTTTCTAGATGTGAGCTCCATAAGGACAAGGGACGCATCTGCTGTGGACACTACCACATGGTGGAACCCAGGAAAGCCCTGACATGGAGAATAAGCTTATTTCTTTTTTTATTTTTAAACAAGTGAAGAAGAGTTTAAGAAGTTGCAAGTTTACAGTAACAAGGTGTGGGTTATAAAATACTTGAAGTTAGTATGACTTTACAATGCCACTGGTGGAGAGAGGTATGACAAGTTTTTTTTTTTTTAAATACATATGTAATAGCATTTAGTTAATATTTAAAATTCACCAGATTGTATACTACCACGCTATTTAAAAGTATAAAATTTCATTTTCTAAGAATTTTGAAAGATACTCTTGCTTAATTAATGTTGAAACTTTAAGTATCCATTCGCTATGTTTCCTTCTTAAATGCTTTCTGCAGGGGGACTCCCCGGGAGCCATCACCATGGCTTTTGTTGCTGTTATTTTGGTGCTAGGAATTGAATGCCAGGCAAGTGGAGTATCAGTGAGCCACTGAGCCACACCACCAGTCCTCCAGAGCAATCTTTAAAGGTTACTTCTCTGCTGCTAAGGATATTTTCTTTCCCGTTACTTCTCTTGCAATTTTCATCAGGAAAAATCTAAGAATTTCTTTCCTAAGTAAAAATTGACTTTACCTTTTTTTTTTTGCCAATAACTACATTCCACTTCAGGGAGGGCTGTTCAACTATGCACACTGGAAAGTGCCCCTGGAAAACCCGAGTGCGGCCCAACACTGAGCCACATTTGATGAATTTTGGTGCCTGTGAAGGCGATACCTACAGTCTCTTTTCAGATCAAAGGGTACGAACTGCAGGAAGAACCATGGGCATGGGTGCAGAGCTGCGGTGGTTGGGAGAAATCTGATTTACTGACTTGCTTGAGTGGAAAAATTTATTTTGAAGTCTAAATGAATCATCACAAACTTCATCAGCAAAAGGGTGCTTTGAAAAGTCTATCCAAACCCATGCAAAAATAAGCAAAGCAAGATTCTTGGAAGCATTCTAGGGAGTGAGCAACATGGCTGCACCTCCTCAAGCACTTCTCCCCAGTGGCCACGCTGCCTTGACTAAAGTGAACCATTCTGATAGGGTCCACGGATGGCAGAGAGCACTGCATAGCAAAACACACTGTTTTGTGTCATCATCCACTGAACATCAAA